AAGTGACGGCGCCAGCCAGCAGCTTGCTCGGTCCTTGTCGGAGACGAAAGCCGGCACGAAAACCCCTCGGAGGCAGCGGGGGACACTGGGAGCCCACAAGCTGTCCCGCCACCCCCCCCGGCACGGTTCAGCCACCACGCACCTGACATCTTTGCCGACAGTCATGGACGCGATCACCTTCTTCACAGCCTCCTTCTTCTTCTCCTTCTTGTCGCTGTTCAGTTCAGCTTTCAGCTCAAATATCTCCCCTGGAGGGAGAGGAAAAGGGGGAGCTCAGGGGACGGGGCACCCACCAGCTCGCTGGGTGCTGCTCCCGGGGTGGGTGAGCACAGCTCCCACCCACCACGTGCCAGGATGCCAGGAGCCAGAAAGGGGGATTTAACTCCCCAGATGTCTCACCCAGGGCTCCTGCAGCCTGTGCAAGCAATGGTGCAGAGCGGGATTTGACAGCCACACGGCAGCAACCCCCAGCCCAGCACCTTGCTGGGGGCGACCAGTGGCTCCGGACCCACCCGAAGGGCATCAGCCCCCACCCCGGGCTCTTTCTTCACCCCCAGGCAGGCAGACCGAAGAGGAAGATGGCTTTCCTCTCTGTTAAGCTCCTTCCAGACCAAGGAATTAAGTCGAACCCCTCAAGCGCTTCTGTCCCAGCCCAGGGGAGCTCAGCAGGGGGGGGTCGTGTCCTGCAGCCGCTCCTGAGCTGCCAAAGCCAATAACCCAGCAGCCCACGGCCCCGCCCTGGTGACGAGGTGCTCCGAGCCCTCGGAGCAAGGGGTGGGCTGTCACCCACAGCATCCCCCACGGGCTCAGGGCATTTCCACGAGAGCTGGCACCTTCGCCAGCGTCCCACGGCAGCGACAGCCCTCCCCGCCCGCCGTACTCAGCTGCGAGAAAAGCCCGGTTGTTTGGGGAAAATCTCTCACCTTTCTTCGTGGTGGTGAAGTACTTCGAGTCCGTCATGGCGGTCTCCAGCTAGCGGCACGTCCCTGGTAGGGGAGGCAGAGCAGAGAGGTTGAGGGGAG